CTGCGGGGAATTCACCAATGATAAAACTGGTCAGAGTGGCATCCCTTCCTTGTGCATCTTTGACAGCCCATACAGCCGTTGCGTTGATAAACCATTCGGCTTGCGTCTGGAAAGTCTCATAGTCGATGACGCAATGTAACAGGATCACGTGCAACGTTTTCTCCAATGGCCTCTATCAACGTAGCCGTAGACCCTGTCTGCACTATACCTTCGTACGATCAAGGACTGTTTTACAAAAGTTGGCGAAAACTACACAACAACAGAGGGATAGACCATCCAGCATAGGCATCAGACGAGCGTGGGTCTCCATCAGGACTGTTAACATGGACTGCATTGTGTCCAAACGAGCGCAACCAATACGTCTGAGGTTCGCGACAGAGGGCATAAGTTTATTCGTACGCAACAGCCTCAGTGTTGGCCATGAGTACCGACACAATGCAACACACACCGAAAGAAAATCAAGATAGTGGTGAAGACATCAGAGAAAGGGGAGAATATACTGACCGCTTATCAAGATTGTGAAAGTGACATCGTATCTGATTGTTAGTTAAGTGAAATCGCGAAATAACACAAAAACTCAGGCGAATAAGCTGCATGATGTATCGATCAATAGTGTGTCAAGTAGTGCGCATCCTCAAATGTCTAAATGAAGGACATCCACGCCAGCAGCAACAAGATGCCGCGTCCGAACGAACTGCATTCTATTTCGTTGCAAATCTATCTACTCATCAATGTACAGTAATTTGTTGAAACAGAACAAAATGTTTACAGTTCCACTGCAAGTAAAATGGACCAGAATAAGGCTCGTCCAAAAATCGAAGGTACCACAAAACTACACAGGGAGGCGAAAGTCCGGAAAAGCAAAATACAGTTGCGTACGTGCAAAGTGCAGAGTCAATTACCATAGTAATAGTAAGCAGAGCCAGATTATTCAAGGGTTGTTATGTAGAGCATGTGGCACGTTTTCACACTCGCACAAACACAGTGCAACTTGTATTGCGAGCAAAGGTGCGCTGTTGCACAACTAGTGAGCCCACGCAACATTTGATTAGGTATTTCGCTCCCGAAGATGAGCAATATGTCGGACGCCCAAGTTGTCACTCAATTTACGATGGTAAGTGATATGAAAGTTGATAATCAGTAGTATCGGAAGACGCGTGACATAAGTGGGTTTGCCAGCCCAACATATGCCATCCAAAAGTGGAAACTGTCAATGAAACATTACTTGGCCCTGGTGATTTGGTAAAGCAAGCTGAACAGAGGCTACCTCAACGCAAAAAGCTTTACTGAATATGTACGCCCATTTTGATGATAGCATCGAAACGATATTAAGAGTCGTTAGATGATAAGTGACTTGTTCGGTAATACGGGCCCCGATTAATCCATCCGAAGAGCATAGGTAGTTTAGGCAATCTATGACTATTCAAAGGATTCCTATGTATTATCCCCAATCAGTCAGACAGACATGTGAAGCCGAAAGCCCTCTGACGGCACAACGAGAGCGATGTCAAACATCATCCAGGTTACTTACTGACTAATCAGTAGCAATAAAGCCAAGTGCCTCCTCGAGGTGATCAACATGAGGGCCGCGTATCGGTGTTCGAATATGATCGGATATAGAAAAGATGCTTCAGATAGAATGACACGCCTGCAATGCGTATCACACGCAGATGGTTGCAATGGAAATGAAATATGGTCCAAAACGACGTGTCGTTCTGAGTAGTAGTAGTAGTAATACCGACAGATAGGTTGTGATCCGTGAATAAGTAAAAAACCAAATGTCACTATCAATGCCGTAAATAAAAGGTATCTCGCGTAGTTCTGGGGAGTTCGTGTCACACGAAACATCTAGAATGCGTGTGTCTTCGACGAGTCGATGGTTGGATTGATTTACTTGATAGTTCGAGCACATGGAGGAGAAGTAAGGAGAAGCGATCGTATACTGAAACAGGGCACATCAAAATCCTAAAAGCACAAATAATGTAAGTGGCGACTCGTCCTGAAGCAGTTGCGCTGGATCACATCAATTAAGTTGATTGCAGTACAGACGTCCGCTAAGTAAACCCAAACAAGTGAATCAGAGGTGTATCAAAACACGATCTCCATACATGTATGAGGGGCGTTCAAGTCAGTCCGGGAGAGGCAACTGCGGTGTTCTTCAATATATCGTCCTACCGTTTTTACGTTTAGCCCAGTATTTCGCTAATGCCTAGAAACCCTATGCATAGAAGTGTGTAGGTGCGTCTGAACCAGCTTCGGAAAGCTTGCTTAGCTTCGGAATCACTGTGAAAATGTTGATCTCCAAGGAGTTAGTTTAGGAGCCTAAACAGACAGAAATCAATTGTTTCTAATTCAGGAATATATAGAGGATGTAACGATGCGATTCAGTAAGAACTGGTCTTCCAAGTCACAAAGATGCTTGAATTTAGTGCAGATTTTAGATCGTTTGTGCCGGGCAAAAGCGGAAAGCTGTCTTGGGATGCACTTCCTGGAGCAACGAATGATCCTGCATTGTTGTTCCTACTGTGCTTAATGAAAAGTTAAACACAAGAAGATATGCGACGATTGTCATTGATCGACGTGTTGAATGTCCCCAAGAAGGAGCTGTGGACTGGCATCTCCCTCCCCAACGGGATCGTCAACGATAGATGTATGACACTTTTTGAGGTATTTCCGCCATTCAAATTTCCTATTGCGACTGAGTCTATTATCACTATACCGTGACCGAAGTCCTCAGTTGCTTTCATAAGGAGACCTTGTTGCCAGCCATCTTGAATAGAAAAGAAGGGGTATCGGTAATAAACCGGTAGGCAGTACCGGAGGTTTGCTGCCACGCAACCACCTACAGTGGCGCGTGGGCTAAGGATAGTGTGAAGATCACCCGATCCCCCTGGCAGGCTCGACCCTGAATAACTTTATACGCAGTAGTGCACGAGAGTAAGAGTCCCTATCAGTAACAGGATACAGTTATCAGTTCTTAAAGCATGCATCACTTTCACCGTTTGATTAGATTTGAACTCGAAGATAGTCCCGGAGCAACTTGAACAATCCATGCAAGTTGATATCTGAAACCTCGATCTTAATTGTGCCCTTAATCTGGTTGCACCACGCCCAAGAGAACCCGAGTCAACAGTTAGAACACAACACCAGAATAGACCAGTCGCTATTTGCGTTGATGTCTGTTGCAAATTTGACTCAAGCTTGACATTTCTTATGAGAAGTTGAGGGAGCAGAAACCTGCTACATCCCAAAAATGAATGGCGAGAAGATTGATTGCTAGCATGAGGAAAAACGCAGGTGCATCGCCTGTACATAATTCGCACAGGCGTTGCACATAGAATGCGCTGGCCTATAGTGCACATACGTTCGATCCACGCTCCTGGCTTGGCTTCGGTGCACAATTCCAAAGTTCGGTTAAATTCCGCAGCGCTGTCTAAGTTCGGCTTTCCGAACATTGTCTTGGTTTGAGTTCACTTGGTGACAATTCTTAGCAGACAAAGCGATGTCGGGACGAGTTAAACGTGGCACAACAAGAACAAGGGTTCAGAATTTGTAATGGCTGGAAGACGTTTCAAAAAAGTGTGTTTATGACCCTGCTTCGCTGCCACGCAACCACCAGAATGTGCATCTTATGGAGTCGTATGCACATAGTCAGCGGATTACGAACCAAACGCCTGGGTCATTCCGCTTAAAGTCCAGTAAAGAATGAATGTGAAAGATAAATCCGTCTTACCATCATCAACACCAACACCAAACAACAGCAGCACAGTCGTAATTTGAACTGGTGCTTCTCTGCCATGTAACCACAATGACCTACTGAGCGAAGAATCATAAAAGGAAAAGAGAAAGAACCAAGCGCAGAGCATTATTGCCCTAAGCACATCTTGTTGCTAACATGCGGTCACAAACAGCTGGCCATCGTAAAAAATAAGTCGGCATCGGCAAGGCTGCATCCTTGCGGCTCGTAATGCCCCGCGTGATAATCAGCTATTACCCAACAGATAACTCAGCGTCAGACACATAAAACATGCAATGTAGTCAAGCTTAATGGCTAATAGTAAATGGGAAAGTAAGACGCAACAAACAGTTGGCTAACATGAGTTGAAGATATTTTTAGTAAACGAGAAGAACAGGTGTTGAAAGTGGTAACTAATTTTCAGAAAAGAGCTTCCTTCGAGAAAACTGATCTCCAGTCGTTTATTCAACATTATTATCCACAGTGAGGCGGAGATATGGAGTTCGCATAGGGTACTTTCACCTAAGCAGTGGTCAGGTTCAACATTGAGTTATGGGCAACAAAAGGTATTTGTGACCATATTAGGTGGTATACAAGAAACCATGATTGGTAGCAAACGACTATGGATCTTAGTTGTCACGGGCTTTCCAGTATAAGTCAGGCAGCGCCAAACCAGTGAACGATGGGAGAGAGAGAGAGTGGAGCATAATCTCCTCCAGATATAGCTGGCCCAAGCCCGCTAAGCAGCAGGACAAGAGTGACCTATACTGTAAGCTTGCCCCCAGAGTCTGAGGCACGCAAGAAACTGGATTGCTTCAGAAATTGCTGCTAACGCAATAGTCACAGCGCTAGTACAAAGCGATGTAGAGTAGCAATATATCGATACCACGTACTGCTCAGTAGTGGAGACATGAAGGCAGAGATGGACAGAATTGGCTTATCTAACTGGGATGTATCGATGGCTAAACGTCAAACAAGAAAAAGGAGTTAACGTAATTGTGAACAAAAATATGAAAAGGGAGCTTCAGTACAGCTCGAATATACAGCACCTTCGAGTGAGTAGCGCTGTGAAAATGGTGTTCACTACGCCGCACTCGTGTTCTGTGCAGCGAAATCAAATAATTTCACAACTGTAGTCGTGCTATTCACTTAACACAGTTAGTCAAATGAAGTACGCAGAGATCGGTTGGTGAAAATAGAAGTTAATCAGCATTGTTACCATACTTGAGATGTTGCACTAAAGCAAGGTACAAAGACAGCTTACCTCCAATTCGCTGATGAAATTTCCACAATACTGTGGCATGTGTGAGAGCTTCCGACGAAGGTCGTTTAGTTCTAGTAGATAAAAAACACAAAGGAAAACAGTCGGGTTCTAAAGTGGATAAATATGACACTAGACGGTCGCGGATGCAGATGCTGTGGCTAGTGGTGTAGAATAGTAAAGGTTTCAGATATTCATAAAAGGTGGAAATACTGAAGAAAAGTGTCAAATGCTTGTAATTCCCCTTTCCTGTGGGCCCATTGTTCCAAAATATCAATCATTCCGCTGTGAATTGGTCTAACATCAATTCCTTTGTCTATATCATGCTATGCCGCATTTTGGTTATTTTGTTCCATAAAGCGTAATTTACCGATCAGACAACAGCTGACCTATACTTGTGGACTCACACGTCGTCGCTGTAATTTGCCGTGCTGCGGGTGCTTTGGATGAGAGGAATGAAGCAGATTTATTGAGTTGGAAGTGCATCGTTCATGGATTCTAATTGTTTGCAATAGTATGGTTACCCACTGAAGAGGTATTTAAATAAAAAGATAAATAAAGGGTACATTCCTCGACGGTGCGAGGCACAGTCCAACTGATTTGTCTGGTCATTATGTACCACTGCATCGCATTGGATGGGTAATATTTCATCGAGTTCTTTTTTCAGAGCAGTTCCCAAATTATTTTATGAAGCTGATTGACCGGCTATCCTTCAGATAGATAGATTGGTTGATGATGATAATTATAATAAATGCAGAAAAATCCAAATGTTCTAGTGAAGTAATAAGGCCTAACGTGAATTTGTCGCCAGGGGACATGTTTCCATGCAGACTAGTCCATCCATGTCTGTTCTGACCGTGTGCTGGTGTGGTTTTAAAGCAGGTTTGAATCACTTTTTGTACTCTGTTTAGGCTCTTATATATATATATATATATATATATATATATATATATATATATATATATATAGCCATATAGCCCGTACCATCAATCGCTTTTTAGGGTCAACAACTATTACTCGTCAGGGAGTCTAGGGCATCTTGAATCGCATGGATTCATCTATTAGTTTGGAAGCTAAAATCCATCACCTCAGGAGATAGACTCAGTCGTGGCCAAGGATGGAGTAGAGAAGAAAGTAGAATATGAGTAGAAAGGCAATTACGGTAATGGTGATAAATAAGAAAGTTGTACTTAAATATCGCCAAGAAAGGCCGACGGATTTCTTGATCAAAATGTGCGGTGGGATCGCCGTAATAGGTGGCTGCTCGGATTATCGATATGCGAGGCAGTTCTGAAAAGAGTCTTCAGGTTTATCCGACAGTTGCCTGCGTTCGAAAAATACAGTAGTTGGTATCGCGGAGCACTGATAATTGCTATCTGCTTCTAGACTGTTGCTCTCGGGAAAGTGGAAAAATATTTAATATTACAAGACGAATGTAAAGAAGAGAAAGGTAAACGGAAAAAAGTTTATATCTCGACGGTGTGAGATACGGATTGTGGTTGATCTGGTCGAATTTTTAAAATAGATGGTTGAAAACAGTTTCTGTTCAATTTTTCACAAGAAAAGAGGTTCCGGATTGATACAGCACTGGTAGCCGATGTGTGTAGGAATGGACATTGACAGATGTCATGAAGCACTCTGCAGTTTGGTGCTAATACCTCCAGACAGGAACGGGAATTGGTTAGCGATAAGGAAGACAGATGTTATGATGGTCTCAGCCAAAAAATTAGCGAAGTAGTTGCTAATAGTACTCAACAGAGTTCCTGCAACTAGGATACAGATACTACTCATCAGTTACCCATTAGAGAGTGCAATACAACAGCTTTGCGTTAGAGTGCAAAACACTCCACCCTTTCTCTGGAGCACAAGTACCCAGTCATCCTCCGGAGCACAACACTTATCAGCTTTCTTCTAGAGTAGAGTACTAAATGATGCTACTTTGTAGTATAGACTAGTTCGTTTTAAAGTGCGTTTAGTGAAATACAAGCACTGGCCAACTAAATGCATATGTCCCCCACATTTACTGGTTCGCAACACTCTTACACACGTGTGATGAAGATGTACAGCATGAGACGGATAAACTTAACTCATAAGCATAGCAATCATGAGCGCCCGGTACGAAAATGGAGAAGTGATGATGGAGGAAACTTACGAATGCGAAAACAGTGAAACTGAGCTTCTATCTGTTGAAGGTCTTGTTCGATACCTGCATACGAATAAGGCACGAGATAAAAGGATATGACGAACAAGACCAAGAATAATTCGTAGAAACAAATTAATCAGTAACACATCATCATTATACACGTTAGCTAGAAGTAGAAAACACCTCAACCATTGCGCGCCATACATGAGAAAAGAAGATAAACATGCAACGAAGGCACACCAGCTGAGTCGCCAGCAACGGATGGACATCGTTCCGGAGAGCTACCAGCCGGTTATTGTGCCGCAAAGGAAGTTAGATTATACATCATAGATAAGATCGTGATTGGAGGAGGAGGGACAAAAAAACAACACAAACGTTACTGAGGTGGGCTCCCAGTCATATCAACAAGTGCATTCAGTCAAACGTGTTCATCATCTTTTGAGCCCCAACCAGGGAGCCGAGAGACCCCAACCAAAGCCAACCTCGAACTAAGGACCTGCATCCGAGTTAACAAGGTGGTTGGTAGGCCTCCACTCCACTTCTTCCATCCACAACTACGGTCGCGCAAAAAAGGTGCGGGAGTCGAGTGGTGGCATGTGCAAAACGTGCCTTAGCCATCCGAGTCTTGTTCGTGAAATAACGGTGCTGAGCGGTTCACTTTCTCTTTCTGTGCCAGAAATAAGGGGCCGAATACGCCAATTGCTCAAGCGGTGTTCCCACCAGACATGAACCAAAATGTGAAACCACCAGTGGTCGAATGTGACTGACCTCTTTACGTGTGCCGACCTGGTGGGGCAGGTTTCATAACCGTACAGCAGGATTGAACGTACGGCTGCATTGTACACTCTACCCTTCAGGGAGAGTGATATCGCGCTGGCGCCACAAGTGAGGAAGATTAGAAAGAGCGTCTCGAGCTTTTGCTAGATGGTTCGTGATATCGTCTTCGATTCCACTTGCGTCGATACAACTGCCCAGGTAGTTGAATTTGTGTATGACTTCTAGCTGATCCCCACCAAGGGTCAGCACAGGAACGGATCCTGCAAATGTTCGAATAAACGCTTCACTTTGACAGTGCAAAGCAAAGCCCAAAACGACTGACAGCTAGTGCTAATCTTTCTAGTGCTGCTTGACACGTTTGTGAGACGTCACAGATGATGGCGATGTCATCAGTACAATCAAAGTCAAGAAGTCGTTCACCTGGGAGCAGCTCCACACCTAAATCGTGTCTACTGAATGCGATTTCTAGGGTTTCTTTAATAACGAAGTTGAAGAGGAAAGGTAATAGCGGACATCCCTGTCTTACACCGCCGGAGATATTACAGGGCGGCGACAGCTTGCCGTAAGCCTTCACTCTGCCCGTGCTAGATATGTGGAACGCTTAAATAACATTTACATATTTGAGTTGGTTCATCGCAATTAGATTGCAAGCCGAAAAGGTGAGCTACCAACCAGGGAAATCAGCAAACCATCGTTTCGTCCTGTTGGGGCTCGTCAGTGGTGCGCATTACCTCGGCCCCCTGCTGGAGATCGAACCCATGACTACTGGTGGCTTGCAACGCTAGCCAGCAGCTTATGCCACTGATCCATGGGGGACGATAGCCGATCATTATGGATTGAAATCTAAATGTGATTAGCCCGACCAATCCATCACTGCCATGCAGGTTACTGCCCGTGTAGAGGACAGTGGTTGACCGTCCGGTCAGGACTTCCGAGTGCTGTGAATCCATACAGCATTTTGGGGACAGATATGGCTTAGTTTTTCAGTACTAATGAGTAGACGGATGTAGGTATAATCTGAGTTGGTTCATCGCAATTAGATCGCGATGAATCTGGTCAAATCATGCCTAAATTCATCTATTCATCAGTAATTTACATATTTCTCGGGTACATGTATCCTGAGTAGATAGTACCAAAGAAATGTGCATTTTATATCAGTGAGCACGACAACAGTGGGCCGCCAATATATGTGACGGGATTTCAACAATTGACGTAAAGCGAAAATGTGATCGATGCAGTCCCGACCTCCGCGAAACCAGGCTTGTACCTCACGAATCTGGCGTTCACGGGTGCCAGTCAATCTGTGACGGAGGCAAGTAAATCTATGGTTGCCACATTCCAAATGAAAGCCTCCACTGAATATCGGGACAATAACGAAGCGTCTCCAGTCGGTTGGGATAGTTTCCTGCACCCACAGTTGCACTAATAACTCGGGTAAATCGTTCACAAGAACAGGTCCCCCAAATTTGAAGGGGGCTGGAGGGAGATCATTTGGTCCCGCAGTTTGCCCGATCTCAAGTTCGACTACCGAGCGAGAGAGGGGATTCAAAGGGAATCCACAGGATACCAAGAAGTCCGGCAACTCCCGCCGATTTCAATTACCTTTCACAGTGTTCAGCCCAACACTCCAAGCATTTTGACAAGTTGTGGATAAGCTGTCCACTCTCGTCATATATAGTTTCACTGACACCAGGTCTCCTGCTACTCATTCCGCGTATTAGAGGAAATAATGTCCGATGGTTACCAAGGACAGCGGCCACCTCCATCGCCGATGCACTAGGGTTCTCGGTCTCTCTTCAGGCTAGCAAGCAGTTTTGCCCTGAGATCTGTGCGAGTCTCGTTGTCTTCGCTCCCATTCAAAAAGTGCCGGTGAGCGTCGATAAGTTCCAGAGACTGCGTAGAGACTCAATGTCCAGGTTGGATATCAGATTTAGCATATGAGGATCTGCCTGGTACTAATAAAGTCTGGAGAACACGCGACCAGTGACCTTCAACTGCATTCAATGAGCTCTTACTCGACCCGAATGCCAGCGTGTTTCCATACGCATTTAGAATATATGGATTCGCCAGCTGGCGAGTGTCTATGCCGTCAAAGCGTTGTCGCAGAATTTCGCCAAAACGCACCCGGAGATCAGCATATACAAGTGCATGGGTCAGTGTTTACACATGCACTCCAAATCGAGCGGCAGCTTTGGACGCAACCTCTCCAGCGGTAACTGATCGCAATGTGCTCAATTTGCGTCCATAGCTGGTTCGAGGCTGGTGGGCGCTAAGTCACACTCCAGCGGGTGCTGTGTCGGAAGTTAGTGCTCGCAAGAAACAGACGAGCACCTTCACACAAATGAAGTAGCTGCTCAATATTATCATTACGGGAGCCTACACCACGTTGACCAGACAGATGTAGGTCATCAGTGGACAATTTGAAAACCTGAGTATTCAGATTCCCAGCCAGCACTACAGTATCCGTGTTTGTTCCGTGAAGAGGGAGCTCGTTCAGTAGGTAATATAAGTCGTTTTTCGACGAGTCAGTGTTACAGCTTGAGGCGCGTAAGCAGCGGTGGCAAAACGGGCAACTATTAGCCCTGCGAAACTTCGAAGCTTTGAAGGACCCAGTCAGTCGGAGCGCACACATCCGGCTACTGACTGGGATCCAATCAACCAGAGTAGCTTCAGCCCGGGGACTCAGGATAATACCAATAACGGTTTTGTCAGCACTCGAAGCTGCATCATTTCAGAATAGACGCAATGGGAAAGCACTGCTAGTGTCATCTGAAAGGGATCGCAGATTGAGCAAAGAGCTCGAGTCTTGCAGGCGGGTTTTCGATAAGCAGCACATATCGATCGAGAGGGTCTCTAATGTTCGGGAAAGAGCTGCCTGTTGACCGAGCTGTAACAATGTACGTACGTTGTGGCATGCCAATCTGAGCGAGGATCGAGAGCTACACATAGAAGCAGATGTGCTGGGCTTGTCCACTTGGTTGAACTTGGGCTTGTCGATAGGGCAGTAGTGACGCTCTGTTTTTGCGTGAGTCAAAACTATACCATTTCCGAATCATGTTAGACCATAGTGAAATGAATTTAGCCAGTAAAGATTTCATATTGCGCCGCTACCATTTTCAAGTTGGTCCATTCTACACTCGGTCACTTGTGGTAATCTAAGCCTTCTTCGAGCTTCTATATAGCATTTAAACGTGGCTGAACTACAGTTTGAATGAGCTCAAATTTGTAAGGTGCCATTACTAGTTTGCAATCGTTTTCTGTATTGAATAATGCTGAAATGCAAATCCAACGAAGTTTTGAACAGCTGCATAGATTTGGCCTCCACAAAATTTTCTGACAGAGTGCACCAAACACTTATTACTCTCCGTACGAAGCAAAGGGGGTGGGGAACTCGCTTCATATTCGACACCACAAGCTTACACCAATGTCCGCGTGTTCTGAATGGCGTTCACAAGTGAAGCAACGGCCTTAGCATCGGGAAGTCACTGAGATGTGATCGACTCGCACCCGACGATAGGACAGTGTGTAGAGTCCCAGTTTCCTACATCGGTCTTCATACGGCAATCTTCATAAAATCGGAATGACAGCAGTAGCAACATGTTGGATCAGCTCGAACTTTTGTGTCGCCTCGGGTGATTGGACAGAGGCATGTGAGCAGTACTTCAATATTGATCTAATGATGAAAAAGAATAGGCGAGTGGCGACCTCTTCAGACATTCAGATCTCTTCAGACAGAAGCTGCGTTTGGGCGCCCAAAACATGCGCAGTCCGTTGCGATATAGAATGTTTGTGTTATCTACTGATTTCAAATCGCGGCGCGAGAGTACCCCTAGGTCCTTCAGGGAAGGAGTGGGGTGTAGCGTTTGACCGTCAATGGTGCAAGTTCGGCCGTCATCACGTTTCCCCAGGCTCATGAATATCGACTTGCTTGGGTTGATCGGGAGGCGAACTTCTGCAGGCCACAGGGAGAGACGGTTGAGGTCTTGTTGAAGTAGGCCAGTCACTCTCCAACTTTTCATGTCGTCCGCAAACAGGGCACACGGCGACCGAAGAAGCTGAGGTGGATTACGAACAGAGTGGGTCCCAGCCCCGTGCCTTGGGGTACGCCACTTGGCAGTTAACTTGTATCCTCGTCCAATGAGAAAGTCCTGAATCCACTGGTACAGTGATCCACCTACGCCACACACTCAGCCTGTGGAGTAGGACACCATGGTTTGCCTTGTCGAACGCTTTACTGAAAGCGATGTAGATCACGTCAACAGACGTGCCTTGGTTCACTGCCTAAAACCATGCATGTCCCATGACTAGTAATGAAGATACAAAGTGAGGTTGCGGGAGATCTATCACTGTAAGAATGCACGACTGTCACATACCAGCCTTCAGTGTTGTGTACTTAAGTGGTTAGCACAGAACCCACAACTTAAGAGCCAACGACTACGATGAGATCCTACCATCGAAAGGGACGGACCGGATATGGGGGACGAGCTGGGGAGCTAATCAGGCAGATACTATTATTAGATGACCAGTGTAGCTTGAATATTACACGGATGACTTGCGGGCGACTTCGCAGTATGCCGGACCACATGTAACCGCTGGCAGTTTTGTCGTAGCGAAACATCGGTACTGGGTATCGGCACACTGCTGAAATCTTACCAAGTGAATACACCGGACATAGTTATCTGTCTGAGTGACCCTGTCCACTGATAGATAACGTTCTGTTGCGCTAAGTTAAAAACTAGTTTTTTTCCCACACGGATCAAAATAAAAAAGTAGTTCGTGTTAATATAAGACAATGGCGCTACTAGGTTAGGCTGGGGTCTAATAGTATGCAAGAAAACGTTGCGAGGACCAGAGACTCCGCCACTAGCTGGTTCGCATTTGTCTATAAAGGAAGAAGGTAGCAGTAATACGTCGGCACACCGTACGGACGCTTTACTGCCAAACGACCACAAACAGTCGCATGCACCAACATCGTCTGCACCTTCGCAGATTTGAACCGGTGACCTTTGGAGTACAAGGTAGAAGTCTTATCCTTGTGGCCACCAGTCGATGCTATGATGGCCCAGTGCTAACAACCCCTGCCGTAGCTCAGATGACAGCCTTTAGGTAAATAAGGCCCTGTTGGGTTGACATATTCTCGCACAACTTGGGAGACATGGACATTAAACCCGAAGACCATTTTTGAGGATTTGGAGAGCAGTTCACCTTTGATCGTGCATCGAGGTGCGATGAGTCCAGTGAAGTTGACATGGGCCACTAAAACAATTATAACAATAGTAAGTATTATTCAGAAGTAATGAGCAAGAGCTTAAATCGTCAGACTGAATGGCCCTATCCAGCTGGGCGCAGAATTAG